CGAGTCTGTTAGGGAGTCCGGCGGCAAGGGTTTTTCTAGTTGTGTCGGTGTAGAGGAAGGCGGGTCGTCCTCTATATAAGCTGCCTTCAAACGATCGACACTTATAGAATCCTGCCGTCCAGATCTGTCAATGACGAAAAACTTTTCTTTCCTACTGAGAACCTTGAAGGGTCCGTCGTATGGTGGCTGTAAGGGCTTACGTACACCGTCACAACGCACAAAGACGTGAGTGCAATCTTGGAGTCTTTTATCCAGCTGCACCCGTCTACACTGTATCCGTGTGGATGAGGGTTGGAGGCGACGCATGTGTAACTTAAGAGTTTGAGCATAGCCATGGATATCGGTAGGAGTTGGGTCACTGCAGTCTGAAGCGACCATCTCACCCGGCAAACGTAAGTTACTACCGTAAACTAACTCAGCAGGTGTACACTGTATATCAGTCTTGAGTGTAGAACGGATGCTGAGAAGAACCAACGGCAGAGACTCAGTCCATTTCATATTGTCGACTGCCATTAGTGCGCTCTTAAGGTGTCGGTGGAATCGCTCGACCAAACCATTGGAAGCTGGATGATATGCGGTAGTGCGGATGCGTTTGCATCCCAACAGATTCATCAGCTTCTGGAAGGTAGCGGATTCGAACTGTTGGCCTCTGTCGGTTGTCACGGTGGAAGGGCATCCAAACTGTGAAACCCATCCTTCGACGAAAACCCGACTTACTGTTTCGGCAGTAATGTTAGACAGTGGGATGGCTAACGGCCAGCGAGTAAACCTATCGACACATGTCAGTAGGTAACTATATCCATCGGAGGGTGGAAGTGGGCCGACAATGTCTAAGTGGACATGAGCGAATCGTGAGTCAGGTTTGGCGAAAGTTCCAAGTGGTGGGATGTTGTGACGATTCACCTTGGAACGTTGGCACTGAATACATGACCGTGTCCAGTTTCGAACATCACGGTTAATACCAGGCCAAACAAACCTAGCAGATATGAGCTTGTCAGTGGCGCGGATGCCAGGATGTGAAAGATTGTGCAAAGCATCAAAAACATGCTTACGCAAGGATAAAGGAACAACCGGTCTGGGTGTGCCTGTGGAGGTGTCGCACAATATTGACACTTCACTGTTCAGGAGCGGTAGACGCTGTATCTTCAGAGAGGATGAGTGTTGAAGTTTTTCAATCTCCTCGTCTGAATCCTGAAGTTCGGCAATCTTCCGTAAGTCGACTGCTCGAGGCAAAGTAGTGGTGCAAACGCGAGACAGTGCGTCCGCGACAGGGTTATTCGCACCAGAAATATGACGGATGTCCGACGTGAATTGCGAAATATAATCTAGGTGACGTAATTCACGCGGTGAATATCTGTCAGTAGTGGTGTGTAAGGCATACGTCAGAGGTTTATGGTCGGTAAAGATGATGAAGTCACGACCTTCCACAAAATGACGAAAATGTTTCACTGAGGCATATATGGCGAGCAGTTCCCTGCCGAAAGTGCTGTACCGCATTTCGCAGGTGGATAACTTCCGGGAGAAGAATGCAACTGGGATCCAAGTGTGATCCGAAAGTTGTTGCAACACAGCTCCAATGGCCGTGTTAGAGGCGTCAACCGCAATGCTAAGAGGTAGGTTTACGTCTTGATGCACCAGCATCGTGGCGTCTGCTATTGCGGTTTTGATCTTGCGAAATGCTTCTAGTGCCTCAGGAGTCAAGCTGAAAGTTTTACATTTACTTTTCAGCAGGTCGGTCAGTGCAGTCAAAATGTGTGCACATTGGGGAATGAAGCGACGATAATAGCTCACCATACCCAGAAACACACGCAGAGCTTTAAGTGACGCTGGGACTGGGAAGTCTTGGATCGCCTGTACCTTTTCAGGTAGTGGGCGAATGCCTTGCTCGTCGATAACGTGTCCCAAAAATTTTAGTGAACGAACGCCAATTGGCATTTGGCCAGGTTGACTGTCATCGAATGCTCTGACAGTCTGGCGAAAACCTGTTTCAAGTGGTTAAAATGAGTGTCTTCGTCTGGACTAGCGATTAGTATATCGTCTAGGTAGGCATAGGCGAAATCGAGTCCACGTAAAACATCGTGAATAAAACGTTGGAAGGTTTGTGCTGCATTGCGAAGACCAAAAGGCATACGGAGGAACTCAAAAAGACCAAACGGTGTAATGACGGCTGTCTTGGGAACATCATCAGGATGAACCGGGATCTGATGATATGCACGCGTCAAGTCAAGCTTACTGAAGATAACCGAGCCTTTTAAAGATGCAGTCAAGTCGTGAATGTGAGGGACTGGGTAACGATCTGGAATCGTTTTAGCGTTGAGCCTTCGGTAGTCACCACAAGGCCTCCAGTCCATGCCATTGTTCTTGGGTACCACATGCAAGGGTGAAGACCATGGACTGTTGGATGGTCTGATTATTCCCATTTCAAGCATGTGTTCGAACTCGGCTTTTACAGCACGCAGTTTCTCCGGGGATAATCGCCGTGGTTTCGCAAATACTGGCGGGCCAGTCGTCGTTATGTGATGAGAAACGTTCGAAGTCACACAAGGGACACAACGACTTGGCTTAAAGACATCCGGAAAGGACTGAATGATAGACGCATAGGGACTAGAAGCGTCCGTCGTGCAGTACACGGGACTGAGGGGCGGCGTCTTTGTGACTATACCGGAAACAGAGAGTGTTGTGGTAGAATCTATCAACTTATGCTTGCCAGCATCTACCAGCAGCTGATAGTGCTGCAAGAGATCCATACCAATAATGCCGGTGGTCACATCTGCCACTATGAAAACCCAACGAAAGGGACGACGCAATCCAAGGTTGAGATCGAGGAATCTCCGACCATAGGTTGTGATGGGCGAACCGTTGGCGGCACGAAGTTGCAGAGACATTGGCCGCAGACGCTCTTCCTTCGTAGGTGGGATGACGCTAGCTTCTGCCCCAGTGTCAACTAGGAAGCGTATCCCAGAATGTCGATCAGTGACGAAGAAGAGGCGACATGGAAGTGGCTCGCCAGCGACGTTAGTCGCCGTCACGTGCTGGCTCACACGTTTCCCGCCTGGTTAGCCTCGAAGGTGCAAGGTCGAGTGCACCTTTTGGCATTGGCACCATAACGTTTATGGTACCAGCACAACCTGGGTTGGGATTGTCGCGATTTGGAACGTCTGCTACCGGTACGGGAGGCAGACCTGTTGCGCGAGCGAGACGTGCGACCTTTGTAAGAACTACCAGACCGCATTTCGTTCCTGATGCTGCACAACTCTCATACAATTTTGAGATGTGAGTTATAACATCGAAACTTGTTGGCTCAACAGCCGAGGGAGGGTTTTTGACGAATCCGTGGCAGTAGACAGTGCAGCTGAGATACTAGTGTTGGGTTTCGTAGCATCCACAGCTCTGTCAGCCGCTTCCGCCAGCTCTATTAAGGGACACTTATGGAAGGGTGCGAGGATCCCTTGAACCGACTGTGGTAACCTCTGTAACCACAGTTGCTTGAGAAATGCTTCATCAATGTTGAAGTCAGCAATCAGCTGCTTCATCTGACGAAGCAGTTGCGTCGGCTTGCGATCACCCAGATGCACATCCCTGAAAAGTTCTTGCACTTTCTGCTGGTCAGTAAGTGCAACACGTTTGATGAGGGCGGTTTTGAGGCGATCGTAAAGATTCGGTGCTGGGTCATCTAGCACATCTGAGACGTCTTCGATCACATTTTCCGGTAAGCTGACGATGACTAAGTTGGACTTAGTTTCTTGTGATTGAATGTGTCTCAAGGCAAACTGAGCTTCCACATGGGAGAACCATGCAGATGGTCTGTGGGCCCAGAAGGTGGGAAGCTGGAGGGTTATGGCCATCTGCGCAGTCGAGTCGTTATCCGCCATTGATCAGGGAATTAACGAGGCACGATAGTGATAATAAAAAAAATTACAATGCAAAAATAACCAATGAGGAGTGCAATAATATAAAAAAACGCTAGACGTGCCAAAAACAAAATAGGCCAGACAAATCAACGCAAGAGAACAAAGGTACTAGACAAAGTAAGAAGTGATACTCGGGCTCACCAATTTTTTAGGGATGCGTGTTACAATTCCGTAACGTTTGATCAACCCTACTTAATTTGATGTGCTCTAGTACCTGCTTAACCAGTACTTTACCTAACGTGTAAGTACTGGTAACAAAACACAAATCAAAAGAACTGATACGCAATGTATTTAAAGGAGCTATGTATTTAAGGTAAATGTTATAATAATGAATGAGGGAAAAGTTTAATCAACTTATCTGGCTTGTAAGGCTGAACTAGGGACTCGGAGTACGTGCGTGGTGATCAGCACAATGGAGCGCAAAAATGGCGTCCAAGCCTGCTCGGATGCATGCTCGTTAAAACAAAACTTAAAACACCCTAAGCATCCGGAGGCAAGCTAGAGATTTATTTAGTTAATTTAATTTAAACTATTTATTTTAGCCCTAGTTATATTTTGGTGCCAGGATGGTGCACTACAAGCTGCACCCAGTACAATACCGGAGGATCAGAGGGGATATGATCATGATGTACCACATCGCCCATAATCCCCCTCATCCTAACAGATCCCCTCTAAGTTCTAGTCGGAAACGCGACTTGAGGAGTCACCCGTTAAGAATAGAGCAAGAGAGAGCACGTACAAAGATCCGTGCTAACTCATTTGCAGTTAGGGTCTGTAAACTGTGGAATTGGCTCCCTTCAGCAGTTGTTACAGCCCTATACCCTGATACCTTTAAAAGGGGGCTAGACTCACACCCCGAGTCCTACGGTACCAATGGGTTATACTCGAGAAGTTTTCTCCAGATAAGATGCAGTAATACTAACTTGAGACCAGATTAATTAATTAATCGTATCTGTATCCTTTCAGGTTTTTCAGAACCGGGAAGATAATTGTGACCATTAAAAACGTATTCCAATAAGACAGACGTAGAACCCAAGAAACCGCAGTTCACTAATTCTACACCACGAAGTTTGAAGTTTGAAGCGTGTTATTATAAAGAGTGCGCTACTTAAGTGGCACGTGAAATGCGTCTGAACTTCAAGGTAGCTTCCTCATGCCAGTCCATATTATTTTTAGTTCAAAAACCTCTTTGGAACAGCTTACAAATGTGGATCTGTTGTTTTTACAGACAACGGCTTGGGTCTATTGAGCCCAGTTGGAAATCAGATAACTGTTTTCGACCTTAAAAAGTAGTCTTCACTTCTAATTCTTTTTATTTTTTTCGTAAGAGATGAGGTTGCTTCTCTCAACGTCTCTTCATTTCATGACGTGAGACATTTGGCTTTATCTCCATCTATTCCTATGTTGGTTGCAGTTAATGACAGTAGGTTCTGGTAGTATCCGTTCTTCCATTTCATCTTTTCAGTTGGTGATGCGTCTCTATGCTCGCTGTCCACAGGATCTGTCATATCTATTTATCCCTTCAAAGGCGTAATTTTGGCCATATCTTTCAGTCCAGATGGGAAGTAAGTTAGTAGTCTTCCCATAACTACCCTAGGTTCCTGGCTGTTGCGAAAGGACACACCATTATGGTGTTCTTTACTCCTTCTGAGAGACGTCAGTTTAATCATTTAGAACTGTACCGTATATTTTACGGCTTTACAGACAATGTGACATGCATTGATTGGTCTTGTGATTCCAGGTAACTTCTAGAAATCGATAATGTTCCTAGGTTTTTCATAGCTGGGTCTGTCGATTCCACTTGTAGATTATTTTCAGTTTACAATATTCCCAAGATCTTCGTGTATACATTATCTGGACACAAAAACCCTATTATTGGGGCATTCATACTTCGAAATGGCGTGAACATAGTAACAGTCAGTTCTGATGGGATGGCCTGCTTTTGGGAGGCCAACACCTCTATTGAAGAGCTAAAAAGTATTGATAGTTCTGAGCCTGGTTCATTGTTTAGAATTAGCAATAGGTAAGCCAGTGTTTGAATTATATCCTTTTAACTCAATTTGTTCAGTTTCTTGTTTGTTTTTGTACTCACTAAGCCACAGATTGAAAGCTATGAAAACTGCTTTAGACAAAGTGAAGTCCTTATAAAATTTTTAATAGACCTGTAGCAGGTTGAGTTTTCGGTGGCAAAGTTGGTTGCTCTAAACCATTGTGATGCATTAAACAAAGGTAGAAGACGTAGACTTGTCAGATAGAGAAGTGATTAAAAGTTTTGCTTTGTGGGTTTTGTTAAGAAGTACGGGTTTCCTAAACCAAGCTCTTATTTTGACTTGAAATTGCGGGAAATATATGGTTATTGTTATGCAGAATATGTCTTAGTACTGCAAAACGTTCACTTCATATTATCAGGAAGGAGTTTTCTTGTGGTTACCACGAGATCAGCCTGAATAACGTGACCGAAATTCTGCGGTATATGGGCATGAAATGCTTTATAGGAGCTCAAGGACAATAAACGAAGGAGAGTCAGACAAGCTTCAAAAAAACGTCGTTGATAGCACATCGGCCTGATTGACTGGTTTGGGAACACAGGACGTACAGTTTCAGAATAACTGGGTAAAATCTTGGACCGGACATTATTCTAATCGGGGTAACTGTTTGGCAATCGCATAAGATACAAACAAACCAGAACCTCCAATTCTTACAACTACTTGATCAAATGAAGGAATGAGCAGTATTTATGTGATATGTAAATTAATGGTTGGCTTGACCGGAAACAGAAGTTAGTGGAGCAGATACCATCTAGAAACACAGAGAAGTGCGTAGATGTTTTTGGGAAACAATCTCTAAGGCTTTGACTTACGTGGTAGTTCACAGGATGGTGTTAACATCAGTTGATATTTTCACTGTCATCGATGACCAAAGTGAATGTATGCCATTCATTCACTTGGGATTATAGAGATCATGTACACCGCTGGTTTGTTAATAGGGTTTTGTAACAGGTCTTCCTGTACTTTGCCTATGTACCTATCTGGTTTGCTTGATAGACCTGCTTTCAAAATTTACTTGAACACTGCCATGTGAAAACAGTGGTTAGCACTTTGCTATTGAAGGATATGAATTTCCTGGAGTACTGTATGTGAGAAACTGCAGACTGGACAGTCTGTGTCGTTATTGGTATCCATATGCATGTAGAGAAGTGAAAAAGAATGTGGAAGGAAACAGGTAGTGAAGATGGTTATGTACAGAAAAAGTTCCGTCTTCTTCCATGTACTTTTGTCTACTTTGATGTCAATCTTTCCCATCCACCTGTTATTTGTACACTATTGTGAAGTGTGGCAACTTGAACGATGCACTTCTGTGTGAGGTTTTACGTTGGCTTTTGTCTGTCTGGTCTGCATGCAGTGTCTGGTTGGAGAAAAAGAAGGTGAAGGGGATGTTAACTCATCGGATAGAATCCATAGAGAATTTTTTCTAGCCTCGATATTATTGTATTTTGTTCCGAAAATTGCGGTTTGGTATGTCATTCCCATGCTAATAATTTTAGTGATGTGGGTATTTTGATTAAATACTTTGAGAATTTGGGAAGTACTTTTTGATTTAGTTTTTTTATTCTAGTAGCTCATCACTTAAGTTTTTAAACCGTCTTCTCAATTCTCTTTCAAGCTAATTACCATGAATTTACCTCTTCAATTCATTTTTTGCAGGTATCGTTACACGAATTCTGGAGATGTACAAATTACAAGTCCTATTAGTTCAGTGGCTTTCCATAAAGATTTGCAGCTACTTGCCACAGGGTTTGAGTCGGGCTTACTCCTGCTGCACACATTTCCTGACTTTGTAATTGTCAGCGAAGTCAGGTATGGCATCATATTTTTCCGTTGCTGTATGCTTTAGGTGATACGGAAATTTTGACTTGAAATTACCATTGTCTTAGGTTTTATTGGTTACATCGAGTAACTGATATACACTAGCTTCATCTCAAATTAGTTGTGCTAAAAATATTCACTGTATTGCGTCGATTTAATTACTTTATTCAGAAAATGTTTCTTATTTTAATTAGTGAATACAATGCATACTGTGCCATACTACTTCGTTTCTGTCTGATCCAGAAGTAATCTAGCAGGTTCAAGTCGTAAGGAGTGATTAGTAAATATACAAAGAACTCTGATTCAATGTGAAAAAGTAACCAAGTAATCATTGTTCCCAATTACATCGCTTTATGGTAGTGTTGTGTTCATCGTAGGCTAATTGCATTCATTACAGTACTTTATGTCATATGTTACTACTTAGATTTTGCATGCTTGGTGCTACAATGATAGCACAACTTGATAGCTATTTTGTTTTCTGTTGCATACAGTCTGTTCACCAACAGTATCAGCAGCTTGACGATTAACCGTAATGGTGATTGGATTGGTGCAGGTTCTGAGTTGTTCGGGCAAATCGCTGTCTGGGAATGGAGATCACAGTCTTGTTACATGCGTGCCGATTCACATTCTAAACAGATGACAAGTTTGGCTTATTCTCCTGATGGACTACATTTAGTAACTGGTGGTTATGATAATAAAGTGAAGGTATGGCGTATATCTGGTGGGAGATCGATAGTTACTTTTTCTGAGCACACAGCTGGTGTAACTGGAGTTGCATTCCCAGCCCAGAATTCCAAGATCGTTTTGTCAGCCAGTTTGGATGGGACTGTTCGGGCCCATGATTTAATCCGGTATGTTTTTTGCTGTCGTTTTTTTGTCTTGATGCACGGTTATATCCAATAAATTGCTGATTTATTTGTGTTGTTTGGGAACATAGAAAGCAATATTTGCTCATTATTGTGACTTAAGAGACTGTTAGGCTTTAAGTGACACCTGTGACAAACCGAAATCAGACACCAAAAATTGCGATGACTATTTAAATATAGAGTTAGTGCTATTAAAAGTGCTCATGCTGTCAAAGTCCGTCAAGTCAATTTTCTAGAATACACTGAGAGTTTTTTGTACTATGGTTTCAATGAAAACTTACCCTACTGATCAACCTGACCACTAAACTAGTGCAATCTACGTAATGTGTCGTATAGCATACCCGTAACTTCCAGTGTGTGTAGCAGTTAGTGGTACTCGTAACGTGCTTACTGTTGTCAGTCATTTCACACTTTCGGAACAAGATTCTTGTTTGGTAATCATAGACGAAGTGGTGGGACTATCACTGTTAGCCAGACAGGAAATATCAACATAGGATCTAGCATTACTGCTTATCGGCTCAAATTGCCGCACCTCAAATCACCACATCAAGCAAGAATACATTAAGATTACAGACAATGAAATAAGAAAGAAAGCAGTCAAAAGTTGTAGAGAGTAGGGCAAGGAGGGATGAAATATAGTTTGACGATTAAGATGAGGATAATATCTGCATTCCTCTACATGACTCAGACCAGCGGTCGAAGGCTTCAGATACTGATGACATGTTTTAGGTTCGTCACTTCTAGTTTTTTCCCAGACTGAACCTGCTTCAGCTAACATTGTGCAACTAGGCAGATGGAGACTGGAAATACGTAGCACATGTTCCAGCCACCTGAATCGATGAAGGTTCAAAACTTCGACTGTCTTTCCTCTTCTATCTAAAACGCTACGCTTGGTTTCTACGTTATTGACGTGGTAACCACGACTCACTGCGTATACTACGCAGGTAACGGTTGTCAAACACGTGAAGCCTTTTCATGTCCTCTACCTTTAATGGCCACGTTTAACAGCCATACAGTAGAACCGAGTGGACTGCAGAGCCGTATGCTTCAAGCTTAATAGACAGTTGGATATCTCAAGGACACCACAGATGGCCTAAGTTGGTGAAGGGCAATCAAGTCTTTTGTATTTTATCGGTCACTGACCCACTGTGGCTGATCCAGCTTCCCAACTGGGTGAAGTGGTTAGCATGTTCAACCACCTCATTCCCTGTTGTTAGACACATGGCTACTAAAGACCAGTCCTTGAGCAAAAATTTGCGAGAAACTTATCCGGAACATTCTCAAATTGTTGCTGAAGATGTCCAGAAGACTGCATCTTATCAGCATCTTCAACGAACAGGACATCATCTGTGCATTCTATATCTACCAAGCATTCTCTTGTGATTTGATCAGTCCCTGTGAAACCAGATGACGAGACGTAAACCTAAGTAGTTATGTCTGTGATAAAGCCCAATAAGAATGGGGAGAGTGGACATCCTTGAAGGACACCATTTTACGTTCAGAACTCACCGTAGGCTCTAACACCCATGGATATTTGAGTACAGAGCTTTCAACAGAGTAATATACTTGTTTAACATTGTTTTCAGTGAGAGATCGCCTTAAGACCTCTCGATCGAAGGAATCGAATACCTTCTTTAGGTCTGGAATTGCAGCTAGTTTCGGGTGTTGGTAAGTGCGCGTGTGTTCCGGAATTGGCTCTAGGCTGAATATCTGGTCTATGCATACATAACTAAGTCTAAAACATGCTTAGGTTTTTTAGGTTCGTCATTCTTGAGCTCCCATTTGGATGTCTGATGATTATACAACCTAGCATCTTGGATATTATTTTGGTCAGGCTGATTCCTCTGAAGAGTTATTCCTGTTTTTGAAGACGGATGGTCGATGGTTGAGAAAGGGTGGTATCTGATTCCTATAGACTAGTTAACTTTTCAGTTAATCTGACCAACAGTCCTCGAATATCGTTTTTAAATACCTGTGATATCAGATGGTCCCACCTTCTACCTTTCCTCTTTCCAGATTATTTACGATTTTATTGACTTTTGCGTTTTAGAGTCCCCTATCTCAATGTTCCACTTAAGATCTGACTGGATAACGGGCAACAGAGTAGTAGCTGGAGACCAGTTGAACCGTTCCTCGTAGTGTTGCATTCGTTTCTCAATCTTTCTCCCCTATATTCTCACTAACCACTGGTGTTTTCTTCCTAATCTCGTTGATAAGGATCATTAGCTGTCTAATGTTGCATATTGTCGTTGCCTTTCCCATTTCTTTAGCTCTCATTACCCACTACTGCTGGCTGTCACTGTGTAGACTGTTTTTCAGTCTGTACTTCAGTTGCTTCTATTTCTCATTGTGTTCAGAGCCAGTTTGAATGTTTTTGCCTTCCTCCGTTAATTCAGAAGACACTGGTGAGAACCACTGGTCTTTTTTGATCCCTTTGTAAGAGTCAGCTGCGGTCTTAGACACTGTTTTTACTGCAAAGTGGAAATAACACCACGTTTCCTCTGAATGAGTGATGTTACTCTGTACTGATACGGATGACTGTCGAGCCACTTTCTTGCTGAAAGCAACCCCAGTATTTTCATCTTCAAGCGGCACTCTCAATGGTCTTGCTGCTGTAGTTTTCCCACGTCCATTTGGGGCGGACATACACATACTCAAACTAACCTGCGGTCGCTTCCCAAACACGTGCTCCAGAAGGAGTGGCAATCTTCCATCAACTCTCCATCGAAAACTGATTGCAACATGGTCTATCTGCCGTCGATTTAAGGTTGATGAACGCCGCCTCAGACAGTGTCTTTCTTCAAGTATAAAGTCCTTGGTGGCCAGAAATAGGTTGTCTGGACACAGTTGCAGCAGGTTATCTCCGTTATCTGTTCGTTCGACTGGAATTCTGAATGCTCCACCTAAGTACCTCCTTGTTTGACTTAGCCTACCTACTTTTACAATGAGGTCAGGTGAGAATACTAGGCAAGATAGACAAATCGTTTGATGGAGTTGTGAACCTTTATCGACTGAGGTGGTTTGGGCATGTGTTGCTCATGCGAGTCACCGCCTACCTCGTCGTGCAATGCTGAGGGAAGTTGGATTAGCTTGGAATAGGGTTCAGAGTGACCAGACCAAGATGTGGCACCAGCCGACGAGGTCTCTTACTGTTGGTCTGAGCCGTGTTGGGAGATGTGGACTGTCTAAATGGAGTTCTCGAGACGACAAAAATCAGTGGTTGAGAACTTACGGTGACATACCTGGAAATCGGTTACAGTGGCGCAGTTGTATTCACTCTTTGACATCTAAAACTTGAAAACTTACTTTAAGCTTCATCTTCAAATCGCTTATTCTACTTTGATATCACTCTTATTGTACCCACGTGTTCTTTGTTTACTGTTGAGAAGTGTAGCAACATGAACTGATGCACTTGTGTGCGAGGTTCTACCTTGATTTTGTCTGTCTGTCTGTCTGTCTGTCACTGTGTCATTCAGTGTAGCTGTGGCTCGTTGGTTTTTTAAGTTGGGCTCCGACTAATCGGTCATGAGTCCGTTTCACCTACTAGGGTTTGGGCAGCCAGGTAGTATCATTAGCCCTCACACAATAGGTGTGGTTCATTGCCCGGTGCTGAGTGTGCACGGGGTTGCTGAGTGCATTTTGACGTTCATTCTTTCGAGTAGCGTACAGATGACTGTCAACTGGGATTCAGTCGAGCAGTGCACTTTATGGGATACAAACACCTACAAGACCACGAGGGACTAGCCATCAAATTTCCAGAAACTCTAGGGGCAAATTTAGCAGATTTACCAAATAGACAGGGCAAAGTTAAGGGAATAACCGCGCTTGGGTTTTATATTCGTGTCTTTCGAACGCACTAAACATCCATGGCCTGAGATGCTAAAGTAATGTGATTCTGGATAAATGCATTCATAACAATAACTGAGAGTCTACAAGACTACTTATTTTAGTAGTATCTACCATTTCACTTACTGAATATATGTTTTTTCATTACTAATTTCTAAGCGGTCTCCAAAAGGCTGGTCATCGTAAGGAAGGTGATCATTTTGTGAGTTTTCTACAAACTTGAAAAAGTGCTAATGGCGTCTGTTAGCGTCTCTAAACTTAACGTTTTTTAATCTAAGTTTTTGATTGTTGGCAGTTAAGTAACTGATCAAATAAGTTTAAATATAGTCTTAGCGTGTTTAGAAAACCATAATAAGAATTTCTGGAGGTTCAGAAAAATTTTCGATTTTCTAAAAACTGGGATCATACAAAAGCTTATTTTTATAGTAATTAAGTCAGCCTTGGCTATCAAATTCTTACGGAATATTGATAACCTTATTCTGACATTTATTTCACATGTAAATGTTTTACTTAGTAGTCTGCGAATAATGTCCCTTTTTATAATTCCAGTCTACTTTTTTAAACAGATTCGATAGTTGGCAGCTTTACATTGCGCATCATATCTATTCAACCTTTAAGTAAACCTTTTTTCGTGAACTTTGACATTTTGTTGTGTATAGCTATAGGAATTTTCGTACATTCACTGTCCCTACACGTCGTATTCAGTTCTCGTCACTTGCTGTTGATACACGTGGCTCTCTTGTTGCTGCTGGTGGTTTGGATACCTTTGAAGCTTATGTGTGGTCAGTTAAAACAGGTCAGCTGCTGGCTACCTTGACTGGACACACTGCCCCAATTAGTGCACTTGCGTTTAATCCTGATGTTTCTGGAATCGACATTGAATTATCCACTGTTAGTTGGGATTCTACACTTCGAATTTGGGATGTGACAGGCAATTCAACAGATGAAAATAATTTATCTAATATGGGCCTTACTAAGGAGGTTGTTAACTTTTCATGTGATGGTGAGTTTCATTTGATTTTGAATAGCCATATACTCGGTTTACTTCTTAACTGAGTACTAATATATTCGCTTTAAAACCATGCAAGTGTTGCATCTAACCAGTACTACCATATGTGTGATGCAAAGCTAAAATGTATTTCAACTGGTCTTCATAAAGCCACAAATATCGATTTTGTAGGATGAGATCAACTGTGAAAGAATGCAGAAAAGCGGTGTATCTCACTGATTTTGACTTAACTATCTGATACACAATCATGAATGATGTTCAGGACCACTGGCTTTAAAGCAAATGGTAATAATGACAGGGTAACTCAGACACTTCGTTAACTGAGTATGTATGGCATTTCATTCAACCATCGAAATCTGTACGTGAAAGGTACGCAGATCTAGGAAGCTAAGAGGTCAAGCGGCGCAAACCAACTAAAGAGTTTAAGGATGAATATTTATACTCTTGCTTCAAAAAGTGACACTTGGTATATTCATTTCATTTCGAGTGATGTAAATCAGTACTAATCGTAATTAGCTAAACTTGGTTGTTGAGTTTAGAGATTTGTTAGCAGAACAGATGGAAAAATATATTTTATGCTCGTCCAAAAGTAATACTGAAAAATAGCCAGGCAACATAGTTTTATGTTTTATAAGGGATCAAGGAAACTGTTGTCTATCGCTTTTTGGATAAAACGGTAAACTCAAACATGCGTTTTTCATATTTCAGTGTGCTGACAAATTTGTGAGTAGTATGATTATCTCTAAGCGACATTAGGTAAACAAATATTCTGCTTTATTGAACTTCTAACACCGTACTGATGTGGATTAGGTGGTGCATTGCTCTCAACTAAATTTACAGGGAATTTGTGTAGTACGATATATATTGAGTTCAATGACTAGAGTCAGATTGCTTCACTGTTTCTTTGTATATATTTGTACTTACCAGCTTAACTCCACTGATTTGCCAGATTAATCTTAGTGTTGTAGTCTTCTCATAAACAACTATTCGCATTAGTACATCGTTGGTGATTTTGGCTCTAGTCATTTTCCTCATTTTCCTATATCATGAAATTATTGTTAGAAAACTATACTACTTCTAAGTAGATAAAGTAAATTTCTTAAAACTATGTAGACATTCCGGTTGGCTTTGTACAGATATTGCTATATAACCTTCATTCATCACCCGGTGTAAATGCTAGTATGCCAAACCACGGGTGTCTCAATCAAAATGATAATCAGTATGATGCTCCCCCTCTCCAATTCAGTTAGATTCGGATTGGGATGAAAAGTCCTCACTAGGCAGCCAGTGTGAATACGATCAAGCGGTAACGCGTCACAAACTCACATGGTAGTCGAACAAAATCCTTAGTGATTGAAGTGAAATAAGACTCTAGTCAGCAGTTAAACTTCGTAGCTCAGTTGGCAGGACATCGGGCCGGAAACCAGGTGGTCGCTGTTTCGGATCGCACCGCTGTCCAAATTATCATTTCACCTTCAGTCATAACTCATTGTAAATACTAATCTGTCAAACCATGCTTATCTTACATAGTCAAAATAAAAACCAGGATAGGTCAGGATTGACAAGTGCAGTGTGGTATAGTAGAACCTTTTTCACATAGTGCAAGTCTGTGTAAGTTTACTCATTCAAGCCCCTTTTTATTATCAATCACTTGGGTTTAATGATATATTACGATTGAGTCCTCAAAGCCATAACACCGATAATGGCACACGTATATACGAGTAATTGTAACGACTAATGATTAGTTTGATCTTCCGTTTTCCAGCTCTATGCGTTGCCTATCGAGGTGATGGAAAACAGTTGGCGATTTCCCTGCTAAATGGGAATATCGTTTTCTATGATCCTAACGAAGGAGTTGAATTGGGGACCATAGATGGTCATCGTGACCTTGGAGTCAGTCAGACTAATGAGAACGACTTGGTTACTCCACGCAGAGCAGCTGAAGCGAAGTATGTTTATTATTGTCTGCTGTGATTCTTTGAATATATGTACACTAGAAATTCAAATTCTTTATTTCAGTTAGATCAAGAAATGTGCTGCATTAAGTAATGTGATGCCATGAAGGTGAACGCAAACGAAAGGTAAGAGCACAATAGTTGTTCAATAAAGAGCACTTATGTGAAAATAGACATGAAGATGTTCTCGTTACTTTCTGGTCCACTACTCCGTTTATATAGGTATGGGGAATTTTGTGTTTCTATTCACTGTTATGCCTAACGGTGTCTCTAACCTGTGGATAATATGGTTCATTGGAACTCACTTAACGTTTCATGTGTAGACTTTGGCTAAAGAATATCAATCATTTTGTAACTTCATGTTATGGATTGCTTGGCTATTCATTCGTTGCATTTGGATACAATTTCGAGAATTAATACTTGATGGGCAAACGGTTGAAATAGAGGTCAAGCAATTCGACCCTATTCAGCAACTGATATCGGTTGCATAAGAGGTGGCTGTAGTGCTCCAGTGGCCTAGTGGATAACGCTTTGGCGTTTAAAGCTATGAGTACTGGGTTCGAGTCTCAGTGGGGACAAGATCAGTCACTGGGGTGCAGGTACACCCAACTGACGAGTCTTAAATAGGACGAAACGCATGTCCTGGTTTTCACTGCTAGTCACTAGAATGAATATAGTATGCATAAAATTTGTTCAAGGGTCTAAAGCCTATGTTTCACCTAAACATGTGGAGTGCCTATCATCATAATAGCAAAAAGCGAAACCAACATTCGATATTCATTACTTGTAATTTGCACAAAATGCTTGGAAATAAGTACTGTTAAGATAATCAGTTTTGAATCATAGTATTAAAAACATACTTTTATCTTCATGGTTTAACCTGACAAGTACCTGTTTTATTAAAAGATTGCATGCCACAATTGTATTTCAATTGTTTTTCATCATTGAAAGATACATTGGTTACAAGCTCTAAGTAGAGAGTGGTTTCCAAATAGCGGTCTGTTTCACAATGTAACAACTGAAATTTACTGCTGAATTCTGCAAAACTGAAAATTTAAAGTGTCATAATTAGCGCATCATGTATTCATTTAAAAACTGAATGAATAATTGTTGTTGAAACGAACTTTAGTATTACACCGAGGGTATTTTCACACAAATTATTCTTCTTCCCGTGAACATGAACTTAAAAAATATTTAATTGTTTACAATAAAGTAATTATTATAGTGATGATTAGCAAGGGCAAACGAGAATCATTAACAATTAAGGCTGTGATGGTTGAGACAATTTAACTCCGGTGATTTGCTGAGTATAGTCAAAAGACTGGTGCTCAGTTGAGTTCATAGTAATTCGAGCCGTAGACCTGTGCTAGTAAAAGCTGACAATATATGTAAAGAATTGCGATGACCTTGAGAGACAGGTTAATTAGAATGATAAAATAGTCAGGAGTCAATCAAAACACTGAAATGGTAATCCGTGTGGGACAGAAAGACCGTGAGCGAAAAGAAATCAGAGAGTATAACAAGTAAGCGAAAAAAAATCAGGGGTGCTGGTATTTATGATCATATAAACTGTTTTTAACATTGAAACGTTTACTGACTCTTTAACTTTTTAAATATCTTTCTTGTATGTTCTTATGAAAAGGAAATTTCAAACCATAGCATACTCTGTCGACGGTGAGCATCTATTGGCAGGTGGAGATTCGAAGTATGTCTGTCTTTATTCTGTTCCGGATAAACTTTTGTTAAAACGGTTTGAAGTAACATGTAATCTGTCATTGGATGGAGTTCAAGAAGTACATGATCGACGTAACTACTTAAGTCGTTTTAGCATAGAAACTATGAACGCTAAAGAAGCCCAACGTCCTAGTCTTCGAATTCCATCAACTGTAAAAGGTGAAGATCGTAGTCGTCGTCAGTGGAAACCTGAAGTGAAAGTTTCTGCAGTTGGATTTTCACCTACCGGTAAATCATTATATAAAAGTTGAATTATTTTTGGTGCTGACGGTCATACTACTGAATACTTTTTGTTGTAATAGACTTTAATTGTTTTGGAATGTTGTGAAAGGCTTTATTTTGTGCTAATATTGCTTCATAAGATTGAGTTGAAGTTAAACACTCTAATGGGACTAAGGTACTAATTTACTATCCACAATAGTGATTATCCTTTTCTCTTTGAGCTGGTGGTTCGGTTCAGAAAAGATACATGGTTAAATACAGCCATTACCAATACAGTTTATTGCAGAGGTCTTTTTTTCACTAACAACATTCATATCTTTGATTTGGCTTTTTTGGTCTATATCGCACTTAAAGCCAAACTCTTCTGTTCATTTATACTGTGCTTGTCATTAGTTCTGCTTCTCATCTTGTATTAATGTGTAATTTAACACAGGCTTATCACAAATATCATACTACTGACTAATTTTCAATGTCAGTTAGGAGACCATCAGAAGACATAATCTTGTCTGGTTTCGTTCACGTGAAGGTTACTTATCTATCTCTTAAAATCCCTAAAATAAATAACCGTGATTACCCGCAGAGTACTAGGTTATTATTGGGTGACATAGGCTGGATGTTCTCGATGAATGGTTTCAGATGTGTTCTGACGGATATTAAAAAGTTTCTAATACCAGAAGGAAAAATTGCGAGGGTTTGATATTCACAACCTTGAGTCTTAAATTTGAGCTAATATATGGGATCATTATTCGGAGATCGTTTATAAGACAGTTTCCATTGTTTTTTGGTGGCTTATTTGCGCGCTGCTACTTTATATTTCATTTTTAGTCTGATTTTTATTGACCATTTCTTTCCAGTTACTCTTCACTTTTGTCATGAGGTTTTTTAATGTAGCCTTTCATTGTAGAGTGGATTCAATAAACTTGTAGCCGTTTTAGGTTATTCCGTTTTATTCCAAACGATAATTTCATTTTTGGTAGAAGCATTTAAAATGTACTTTTAATTTTTGAGTTCAAACTTGTTGATTTTGACCTTTACTCTAAGTGAAGTGATCTTTTTCTCGTTGTTCTTAAAAAAATTGTCTAGTGAATTTTTGAGTAAACATGATGCATATATAGGATATTTAACTATTTATTTCCATTGCGTCATGTGTTCACAGGTGATGCATTTGCGGCTACTACTACAGAAGGTGTTCTCGTGTATTCTTTACCATCTGCTGGGAGTGGATATGGTGTGGGGAGTTGTTTCGGTGTTTCAAGTTATAGCGAGAGTGGTTGGTTATTTGATACACTAGGTATTGATGAGATGACTACTCCGTCAAATGCTCGTGCAGCACTTATCCAAGGTAGACAAGCGGAAGCTTTAGATATGGCTATTCGGTTACAATTGCATGAACTTGTTGAAGAAGTTATCGAGTCAATCCCTGTTGATCAAAGTAAGTGATAATTAGTTTATTGTAACTTGTTTTAGGTAACCTTGACTAAAAGAGACTTGAGTTGCAGTAAAATTGGAATCAGTAACCTCTAAGTTACTGACCTTCCAACCGAAATGCCAACTTGGGTTGAACTTGTCCTATACACACTATCTCAACAGATTGTATAGCTTCCATTGTTTGCTGGAACTGAGGCCGGTTGGGCGAAGCAAGTGTGGTTAATTAATAATACCATTGTGGGACAACTTAGTTGTGTTCGCTCAGCATCTATCTATCAGTGCATAATGGCTCCTTGGATATCTTCTGAGGTAACGTGCCACCCAGTGGCTTGATATGTTGTGGGATAAGGTGTAGAATCAAAATAAAAGTTGATTATACCGTGTAGTCTTCCTTTTTTTTCCATTTAAAAAAATAGTGGTAAGGAAACGAAAATTGTTATTTATACGACTACTTCTCGTGTTGTGATAATTCTGTTAAAGGTTTTCTTTCCCGTTTCTCTAATGGTTTACATGATATAGGTTGCATTTCTTAGCAATCATGTTTTATCGCGTATATGTTCAAGATAAGCAACTGCTCGTACATTGCAATGTTTGCTTTTAAGTTAGGTCTTTTTATTCTGATGAAAAGTAGTCTGAAATTAGCAAGGAGAGCGACTAACGAGTTGCTAACTAGTCATTTTGAACTCAGTATGAAGTCATTTCACTGAAGAATCGGATGTAAATCTTAATAAACAACTTTTTATATTCACCAAAGTTGTAGGGATTCCCACGCTTATCTCACATTTAGCGGCTATCTGCCTTTTAATTTTTCTAATACTTAAATTAAGTGTGAAACGAGTAATTTTAATTTTTAGTGGTCACTGACTATGGTGTTAATAATTTTCCTTAAAGAAAACTTAATATTCTTGTGGTTTTATTTTTAGCAACGAAAGACTTTTGTAAATATGGGTCGCAAAACACTCACTTATATTGTAGTATAGTATAAGTACCAGGTGGTTCAAGGAAACAAACAGAAGGTTTGGTATATTTTTGGCTGTTGACTTCATCAAGGAGCATACATTTGTATGGTGAATCAATATTTAAGTTTTATTTAGTTATCTAATCATTTTTGGATGAGTTGGGAATGCACTTCTCTGTTGATCCCCAGGTGTTTGTCTACTTTTATGCTGGAACACTTTCTGTATAAGCACTGTGACGTGACTTTGTGCTTGATTATTACTTATATGATGTTACAGGGTTGGAAATTGTGTCAATATTTCAAGTCTCAGATAAATTGCAAAAAGGAAAGTGTGAGGTGTTTGGACTTCCCTTCTTCAAGTTATTGACAAAAAAGTCGTTTGTCTCACTGGATTCTGTGGACACTGAAAAATAATAACAAGATATCCATCCATAGATGGTTGTGAAACGTATTATTCATTAAGACTAACAATATTGGTAGTTTTCTCAACGCCGGTTTCTTTTTCCAGCACATGTGAAAATTGTCATTGAACACCATTACTAAGTAATAATGCAAGAACACTGGCTACCAGATAAGGAACAGTGGACAACTTAATATGCAGCTCTTCCCAGCACTAGCTAATGGGGAAAAAATTCACAGGGTGGAATAGTTTAACAGCTCAATTACAATAGTTTTTCATCAACCCTAATTATGGCAATACATAGAAGTGATCGTTTTAAGTGAAGTATTAACTTTATGCCCTAGACAGACGACATGTTGTGGCTTGTATCGTGGTATGTTGGCCAAGACTAAGCTGAAAAACATCTGCACATTTCTCTCATAAATCAACAAAATGGATATTTATCTTGTAACGATGCTTTGTCATGTTGCAAAGTGATCTCACTGGTACTTCAGATAACTGAAGGCTTTAAAGATAATCAAACGTCGAAAGATTTAGATCATTTGGTGTGATATAGGAGATACTCATAAACATGGTGCGACAAAAAGCTTCATTGCAGCCTAATTAATCGTATAATTTAAGGTAGTTATCACATGCGCTCATGGCAGTTTAAAGTTTCTTCAATAGAAGACCTGTTAGTATCGTTCGACAGCTTCTCATATGTTTTAGTTGTTTCAGATTCAGAGTTCAGCTGAGAAGTTGCCTCACAACAATATATCGGGTGAAAAATACATTTTCGTCCACTTTATGTTGTAAATTAACATGTGACCAACAGGTTCAGCTTTATAGACTTTAGGATCAACATTTAACTTGATAGAATTGAATAAGTTGAGCATTGTGTAAATTATGTATAAAGGAGATATATTTATAAGATCCCAGTTAGGTAAAAAAAAAAGTAAATTTTGATGTTTCACGACCCTGCAGGAGCCACTTCCTCAGAGAAGATATTGTTTTTTCACCTCATTGGGGTTTTACTAATGTGTCTCCTATATATGATTCAGATTGGTTCGGAAATGGTTTTCACTACGGATTTCAATCGGGATTGAGGTCTGCTTCTACTAGACTTGTGAAACTGATATAATCTGATAAACTATCATGTCTCGCAATACCAGGAACAACCTTCGGGGTATTGTGATGACTAGAAGTACAATGCCATTGATAACCATCTGTATCAGGTCAAGTGGGCCAAAGTTAAATGATACAATATGCTTCGCCTTAATGCGTACACTTTGGAGGCCGTCTCATATCCTAATTGCTCTAGATTCATATCCTTCTGTAAGTTGGCTAGCTGTTGATATTCATTCGTACTATTATTAACCGGCAACTTTTTGTAGTTAGGAATTTCCGTTGAACTACTTGACTGAAAGCTTCATACCAGGCAGAACCTTACGAATTCGCAAATATGATCAAACTTCATCTATGTACTAGCACAGCATAGGTACTAATTTATCGAAGTTAGCATGTTTATTCATGCTATTTTTTGTAGAAACTAAAACAAACAATAACATATATTTGGAATTGAAAACGTAAGTCATATGGTTGTTGCTTTGAATTGGGTTTACGAGTATTTATGTCTACATCAGTGAGAACCGGATGTAGATAAGAGTCAACTTGTCGATGCCATTCTAATTGTCAGCTCTGAGAACTTGGCCGGTGTAAAGATATTTATCATCACGAACTGATATTGCTTATATAGCCAATAAAACCAAGTGTTGAACGATGTAGAAATTCGTACTGTATGCAGGTAGATTTATTTATTTTAGAGCGTAAGCTTTCATTGATAGACCTTTTGGTATCAGTCTAGAAATCATTTTCATCTTTGCTTTACTCATCAATAGGATTTCACTAATCTGCAAGTCAATACCGTAGTTAACAGCTGTAAATTAATATGACAGATCATTCGGAGATATCTCAATACATTTGTTAGAATTTTAGAGGTATAGTTATATTATACGGAAATCTTCAACCCCCAGAGTTCAATAAGAAATTTTTGTTAGGTTTCCTTTACATTCATCTATGATTTTCTTGTGTAATAATTGCTGTTCTTTTTTATGGGATGAACTCCATTGGTATTAGGTTTGTTTGAGCCTTGGGCATCAATTTAGCACAAGCTGTACCATTATACAACTGGTGTATCTTCTATTATATGCAACATTTTTGTAGTAGTAATGGTGGTAGTAGTGTTTCAAACCTTTCGTTTAATTTCCTTTGTTGTATTTCAGTTGACTTCTTAGCCCATCAACTACCTATCAATCAGGTCATACATTATCTCATCTCTTTCCTTGCCCGTCAGTTGGGAGGTCGATCACGTCATCTTGAATTGTATATTCACTGGACACATTCGATACTACGTTCACACAGTTTGAACTTGCGACGGATAGCGGCAAATTCAGCTCTGTCTGAGGCTATAAGTTCAAAGGAACCGAAGCACTTGTTAAACAAGGAATCAGCAGAAGATAGGAAAGAGCTGAATAATCCAGGATTTTTAACACTTCGAGGAGAATGGGCAACCTGTCAGGCAAGCTTAGTTCGTTTACAAGCTAGTTTGAATCATGTAAAGTCCAACCTAATCAAACAGTGAGTGTTATTCAGCGAATTTTTGAATGCATGGTCAGCAGTGTTTCTTTTGTCTATGTTATTTATTGAGAGTTTGTATCTTTTTCATTGAAACAACACATTTTATTTTGTTTACTTATTACTGCTTTTAAATATATATTTTTGCATAATGTCGTTTGAGGTTTATGGGGTTTTTATTTTTAAGGTTGTATTCATCACGAACTGACTGCTTGTTAGTAACATGATTCGAGATGGATACCCGGGAGTTCTAATGAAAAGCTATGACCAGTGGAGTGAAGCGAATGCCAACTGAAGACTTTAGTAGATAGTCGCGCTATGTCACGAATTGATAGAAGTGAGAAACTGTGAACCATGGATTTCCGAGCTATTGGCTGAATAGTTAACGCGTTCGCTGCGAAACGTGAACGTCACGAGTTCGATTCCTGATGGTGGTACTGCTGAAGAGTCTCATACTAATGCGAAACAGCTGCCCGATGCTCCCAGGTTCCCAGTGGTTCTACAATTGATGTCAGTTCATGATGAATACAACCTTATATATATATATATATATATATATATATATATATATATATATATATATATATATATATATATAGTTTATCGCCAAAGGTAAGTGGACACAGAAGCTTCCATCAGTCCTGTAGAAGCAGTGAGTACTTCGACGATATCAAGTACATAACATACAGATACTGATTACCAAATGGTTAATTAAAATTTGAGTAGCCTGGGTGTTGTTGCTAAATGAGACCATATCATTCACATACTCGAGATCGAAAAGTCTTTTATGTGATGGTAACAGATCTACATAATCACCATACAACTCCTTCAGAGCTGTTTCGAGGGTGTCATTGAGGTCAAAGTTGAAGGGAAGTGATGAAATCAAATAACCCTGTTATCTGGAGGAGGTGTTTTATATGTGACTATCGTCAATGCATTGACTAGTCTTTTGTTCAAGATCTCATTCCAGAGCGATATAACACCCACTTTTAACTATATTTTGATGGTTTTACTCTACTGTCTACTCGTTTCTGAAAAGTTTATTGTTACACTTTTGCACTCCTCTCTCCGTTTAGCCTAATTTGTTTTGCAGTTTGATTAATTAACTTCCTTTATTCTTTACTCTTTAAACTGTCCTCTTTATTTTCATTGTAAAGTGAAATGTTTGTATTGATGACCATGATAAGCAAAAATAATGACTATTTGAATTAGATTCTAACGATTAGATAGAATAATTTACCACTTATGTTCTAGCTCAAAGAAGAATCGGAATAGCTTAAGTCTTTTTTCCCCTCTCATTTCACTTATATCATCACACAGTTAGTTTATTTTCGCAAGTTATAATGGGTTTTCAGTTTAATGAGAATGATAACCACTCACACTGTCATCCTTTCCTTTACTATCAAGAGAATTAAAATTAGCGTAGTTAATTCATTCACTAGTAAATTGAAGCTGATTTCTGTTACCGTTTATCAGACATTAGCATTATTAGGTGTGACCTTACATATCTTAATCTTCCGTTTAGTTTTTATTTGGATTGCTTGTGGGTTTTGTGTTTCAATCCATGCAAGAGTTGGTTTAATGTACCTTTTTCTCTAGCCAATCGTCTACAAGTAAATTCAATAAGTTACAGTTGACTGACTTTTAGTCTGTGTATCGTACCTTATTTTCTCTAATTATCATGTTTTATTGTTGCCTCGTTTCTAATTACTCTGATGAAGAATGACAGATTGTTCTGATTAGAAATTAGAATAAAGTTTGTTGTTAATCACATAAAAAGGATTGATAGTTATCCATCTTGTCGCTACTAATTATTGCATTGCCGTCATTGTTATCATTAGTACACTTATTTATGGTTGTAGTGAAAATGGGTTGATTTAGACCTGTGTTGTGTTGTCAACTTCTCTTATTTCTTCATTCTTAGACTATTGTTTTACACTATTTTTGTGGTGTGAAGCTCATAGTTTATTTCTTAAGAAAATACAAACTGCTGGGCTATTTATCGGTCTACTATCACCATAGTATTAAATGTATTTATCGTTCACCGCTTCTGATGAAAATAATTTTCTATCTCTCTTCTTTTAATTGTATCTTGATGGAAAGGTTTTGTTTACTTAGTGTACAATGGTTATTGAAATCTTCAAGCATAACTTTTCTTTGTTTTCTTCATGATTTGCTACTTACTTCTCTTTTGTATCAATTCTCTGTCAGTGGAGTAGAATTTCAACTACGAGAAGTAAATAACGAGGATGACATTTCTACTTACGTTTGAGGATTAGACGATTTAAGTGAGAGAATGAAGTAAAGTACATAGTTACTAGTTCAAATGGATCATTTTTCACCGTTAAACAAGTGAAGTATACATTTCGAGCAGGTACAATATTGCAGTGTCAACTTACTTCTGCAACCTAAGTTGTCGTAAATACCTTAGACTGCACTGGTTACATGACATTCATTCTTGTCGAACACTTTGCTGATATTTATAATACCTTCTCATAAACTACCGCATCGTACAAAGTTTTGTATTTTTCTACATGTACAAACAACTGCTCTGGTCTTAGGACATTGTATGAATATGAATGAAAAATCACACTGCACTAGATGGCGTTCAAAATTCCGTCATTTTACGCGGCGAAATTTTTTGTGAAATTGTGATATTAAGTACTGTCAGTGCTTGTCGGCAAGGTTTACGAAGTTTTCTCAATCTGTCCACTTTAAAACCCCATGTGTTACATTAGGTTGGGTATATACTAAGAAATTGGTAGGTTTTGTTATGTATACTTTGACATGCGGTTCATTAAAATTTCAGAGTGAACATTTGTGACTTGTTTAAAGTCAACTCTTCAGGGATTTTGAAGTGATAAACAGACAAAATCAGAGTAGAACCTCACACACAAGTACGTTGGTCTAAGTCGCCACAATTCACAATAATATACAAAGAACAAATGTATGACAGAATGAACAGTTTGAAGGTTAGGGCAAATATTCAAGCTTTAGGAGACGTCAAGAAGTGAATGCATCTACGCCACTGTAAGCTACCTGATTCTCATCGTCTCGAGGTTCCCAACCAGGCTGTCCATATCTCCTAACACGTCTCGGGCTAACAGTTAGGGACTACATGGATTAGTGCTACGTCTTAGTTTGGCAACCCTGAGCCCTATTCCAACGTAATGCAACTTCCCCTAGCCTTGCACGTTAAAGTAGGCGGTGAATCGGTATGTACGGTATGTCCAAGCCAACTCAGTCGATGAAGGTTGACTGTTTTGCCTATAGCTCTTCGCCTGACCTCAACATTGCTGACAATGATTCCACCAAACGCTAACAATGCTGTGAACAACTTAACATGAGTCTGTTAATTTCTACTGAAGTTATGAGAAGTTTACAAGAGAATTTTTTTACTCAATACTGGTTACTCTCAGTAATCACTTAGTCTTGTCCAAGTTGAATTTCATTCTAAAATATCTAGCTGATTATGCTGAAACATGCCATTCCATTCAACACGGAATATAAATTTGAGCACTGTATTTTACATATACTTTCTACATTTGGAGCCAATCCACAAAGTCTTTAACTGTTGGTCTGATTCCGCGTAGGGTGGTGTAGGCTATTTGACCAAGGTCTTCGATAGGGATCAAGAGTTGCAAACTGTTCGCAACATGACTAAAAATTGTTTATGATGGTGGAGATGTATACATTCTTTGTCATCAAAGTTTTGAATATTTTCATCAACTTCCATCTATTTATACTCTCTCAACTCTGGAACTTTTGTGACAGCGTGAATTCTTTTGTACCAGATTCTGCATTGATTTTTCCATCTTTTCTATATTTGTTACGGATGCATTTTACGTCAGTCATCTGTTGCTTCAAGGTTTTGTACTCGATCTCGGGGAATCAAGTATTTTGTTTGCATTCCCATTGTATTGTATTAAACACATTTGCATTATTGCCTTTCAGGTAATCAAGTTACAAAAAAATCTGTTCTATGTTTGGCATCTATTCGTATTCTCATGCATTTTCCATCTTTAGAATCGACAGTTGTTTTGTAAATTTATGACTTCCCCGTTTTACCATTAGTATGTTTCTTATGCACGCTATTGTCATTCATTTAGTACATGGAGTTGATAGAGTTTTTTTATTCTTATCAGGCGTTTCGTTTGCATTCCATCTTACTTTCGTGTTATGATTAACTGGCGAAGCATATTAATCTTACATATGACTATCTTAACTGAATTGAATTGTTATCAGATATCCCAATTTGCCCAGATACCGATGATTTTTTAGCTTGGAAATAGTCCTCATATTCCATGTTGCTGTAGTTTTACTGCTTAAAAGTTGGTCTTTCTACTTAGGCTTGAACAACCTGGTTAGTGTTCCTGTATCTAATTGATCTGGTAGACGAAAATGCAGACTTCTCCTATATTACCTTTATAGTTTGTTTTACACAATGTGATTAGTATAAAATCAACTTTATTCTTTTGGCATCTTCCAAGAATAATTAAAACAGATTTTATACTGGTTCTATCGCTAAAAATGGAGTTATTAGTTATCTAACGGAAATCGAAATGCATTCAGCAACGTGGTGCATATTTGTTCAGTAGGCCATGAGCCACACATATTGTGTGAGGGTTAATGATACTACCCGGCTCCCCGAACTTTGGTAAGTGGAGCGGGGTTCAAATTTGTGACCAACTGAATGAAGGTCATCTCTTTAAACCAATGAGTTATAGCTCCACCGTTATCCAGTATTCAGTGATTTAATAATCAAGATGTATATTGTGTTTTGAATCTGTTAAGCGGCAATCTCACTTTATTCTGTCTAATCATATTCATCTTTATCAATGTGTACAAGTTAATTTTTGTGTTGTTCCTCTTTTATAGCTTTGAATCTGTGGACAATCTATGGAATTATTTAGAAAGTTTATCAAAGCTGTATTACGTAAAATCTACTAGTGCAAAAAAGCAAGATATTACTGAAAATTGTCAAGCTTAACGTATTTCACTGATTTACTCTAATTAGTTTCCATATTGTAAACTTAAAAATTAATTTACGACTATTTTGTTGTTATCAGTGGATTGTAATGAGATTTATTGAAGGGTAGATGCACTTTTCTTGCAGATTATTTTGTAATCTGACTCATTTTTCTGAGCATTTTAATATATTCTAAATGCTTGTAAATATACACTTTTCGAAAATAACTAGTGTGTTTGTTCTTTACAACAGTTAGACTCTATTTCATGTTAGTTCGCAGCATACAGGTGAACTTTATTCGGTGTTTAAGAATCATTTCCAATTTTTCAAAGATTATTTCCCCATTTTATTTTGTGAAGCTGCACTTTCTCACTAAGCTTAAACTAGTGTTTGAATGTTGTTTAATTACTAATTACTAATTGTAGAACATGAATGGCGTCCATAAACTATTCTTCATATGTACCAGTCAGCTGGTTACCTTAGACAACTAAATCCTAACAATATGAGTAAAACTTGGGTGGTGTGGTAGTGTATAGTTCTATATTAGATTGTTTATTTGATATTTCACACCGTAATACTGTTTCATTGTGTGAAATGTCAAGTAAACAATCTCATATGTAACCTCTGAATAATGTAGAATTTCTAATTGACTGAGGAGTATGTACACAGAGTTACGTATTCTAGAGCTGACAAGCATAGAAAAGACCAACATAGAACTTGACATTGCTGCGTAGCGGTCGAAGCTACTACACCTTATATCAGCACATAAAAAAAAGAATGCACTAACATGAGAGATGAAGAAATAATGAAGAGAGCAGCAAAGTGGCAAAAATTCATCGGGAGAGATCAAGGATGAATAAAGGCATACTGAATTTCACTTTGACGATTAAGATGAAACTGTTGTTCGAATACATCTGCTCTACTGAGTTCGATTCTCACCTTTATCATCTAGAGTCTCCCACCACTGGTTGTTATTGTCTCACGAACTCCTCTACACAACTCAGACCAACAATCAGAGACTTCAGAAACTGATGGCGTGCTTTAGTTTCGACTTATCTCTAGCCTGTTTCCAGCCCTAACCTACTTCAGGTAACATTGTGCGAAGGGGCAGATAGTGACTTGGCATTCGTCACACATATCCCAGCCACTTGAGTCGATGAAGGTTCACAACCTCATCAAATGAATTTCCTGTTTTACCTAAGACGTTGCATTTGACTTCTACGTTACTGAAGTTGTGACACCATGAAACATAGAATATGCTACGAATGTGAAGGTGGTCAAATGCCTAAAGCTACCTGATATCTTGGTTGTATTGTGTTCTCTGAGCTGGGTTGTTTAATCGTGAAGCTTCCGTCATCTTGCTAGACGACATCAGCACTAACTTCAGTATGTCCTCCACATTGAATGTCCTTGTTTTACAGCCATATAGTAGAACAGAGTGGATTGCAGAGCATTACACTCGTCTTCTAGTAGGCAACTGGATGTCATAGTAGAGTGACGGGTGTCAACTGGTGATAATCAGTCAAGCCTTTTGTATTCATATGGAGATTTCGTCGGTCACTAATCTACAGATAAATGGAATGGTCAAGGCGTCCAATCATTTCACTACCTATTAAACAATATGCCACTGAAGACCAGTCCTGGGACAATCGGCTCGCATTTTTTCATCATATTTCATTTTATAATTTTTTTGGTTAATTTTTAAGTATCATTGATAGTATTTTCTATAAGGGTTCTTCAGCGATCGGTTTGTTTATGCCGCAGCCATTTGAGATCCGCTGGATGTGATGTACGGATGTTATGACTACTCGTTATCAATGATGCTTCTTCCAGAACATAAAATATCAGTATTTTTGTTTCTCTTGTTCTTGTTTTTAGGCTTTCAAAACTTGTGAAAGTTTGGAGGATGATTATATTCCCAATCAAAATTAAATGTAGGATGGTTATTCTCACAGGGGCAACAAACACGATGTTTCGACCAAAGTGATAAAATCAAAATATTATTGTAGCTGAGTGATTGACGTTATTAGATAATAAGTGAAGACAGATGCCAGAGTCGACACTGTTGGTGGAGTGATCCTATACAAGTATCCAACTGTCTAAGAAGTTAAATCTGGGTTTTTTGCTGACAGTCGTGAATTCATGGTCGCAAGGTGTTACTTAGCTTTTTCAGTAGGAAGTCTAACGAATGTTAATCCTATTAGACATTGCATTATCCGAACTCTTGGTGTTTGCATTTGTAGTTGATGGCGTATAGGTCTTGTAAATATCGGTTTTTTGTATTTTGAAGACTACTATCTACGATCTATGGCAAGCTTTTGTATCTCACCAGTAAGATGTGGCGTTAAGCAATACATCAATAAATTGTTAGTGTCACATAAATAAAGGCCTTAGCAAAGCGTACAGAACGTGCATATATATTTGAAGAATACCGGAGTCTATCAAGTTATGCCAGTGTTTTTATTGAGAAGGAAATTGTTTCCCTTCACTCCCCTTGCCTGGATTAAGCGAATACTATCTCAGTATTGCCAGCTAAATTCTTTCGTAAGTCACTTCCAGAGTAATGAAGACATTACCGAACTACGGGTGCAACGTTTGGCTTAGGTTGGCTTATTCAAGCTGTATAGGCGAAAACCTATGTTTCTTGGGGTACTATCAAACAAGGAATGTTAACTGAAGGGTGGGGCAGTGGAGGCTAACTGTTCAGAGGTCTGAGGGTTGGGTTCTTCTACAGACTTAAGTAAAAGACCATAGTAATCAGGTGGTTTTCAAGAATGAGCAGCGGTTCCAGTTATGATGCTTTCACTATCGGAAAACGTATTTGTCAGTACTAAAAAAGTAAACTCCACCTAACCCCTTGGAATTCTAACCCTTATGCAATATAAGATCGTCCCGTCAATGATTTTCAAGACGAACTTCATGTAACTACCCCTATGACCATTCATCAAGTCTGTCGCAATACTCATACTCATCCAGTTTCACTCGCAAGTACCTTGTCGGAAAATACCCCCTTATCAAATAGGTAATAAGAAAACATTGATTGGTCACAGTTTTCCTGTAGCATTGGATTCCTTTTTGACCGTTTATCTTCTTTCTAATCGTTTCTCAAGTATATTATTGTCATTAACTTTTCACTGCCTTTGAAGTCCTCAACTATAAGTCACATCCAACGCATTCTATGTCCAGAACCTATGTCAGAGTGAATGGTGGGTGTTACTACTGAAAACTGGCTTTGGACTTTTGTGAATGGAATTTTCACTTGCAATGAACTAGGATTTAGATATTTATATACGAAGTGTATTTGTAGAGGAACTGACTAAAGGGTAAGTGGACGGCATGACAATGTTATTCACTTGGAGGTAGTGTGGCACCGTTTTCATATAAAATTAGTTTTAGATACTAGGGGGTCGGAGAAAGAGTCCAGAAAGGCCATTGGATTCCTACAACTACTATTGGAGGTAGGAAGAGGAAGGGATACATGAAGACCAGCTTTAGCTCAAGGAGGAATAGAGGCAGTTCATCTATGAAATGAAATGATGGGAAAGATTTGTAATTTCTGATAAATTACGTTGATGGTGTTCTCTGAACCCTGATATTTTATCGTAGACGTTTCATCAACACTTTATGAACTTAGTTCTGAGGATGTCACCAAGCTTGGTGATGTAATGTCCACGACAAAGTATCTAGGCTCAGAGAACATTAAGTGGAAATGATTTTGTGCAGTGATTCTGAGCGGTGGTAGGTATAGATTTCAAAGGAGTCCTGTTTTGTTCACTACAAAAGTTATACTTTTAAGTCACTGACTAGCCAAACTAATAATAAGTGAGGTGACTGGAAAGATTGGCAAAAGGGTAGGGGCGACACTTCCACTTACTTTCAACCAGTATTTAGTTCTCACCATTTAGTGGCAGTGTGAATGGAAAACTGAAATGGAACTTCGAAGTCTAACTGAATTTGATGATACACCTGGTAACTTAGAAATGAAATAGTAGACCTTGATAATGTAACGTGAAAATGTCCAGAGATGTCTACCCAGTGTGATTAATTAGAAAGGTAGTTCTTCCTAGTGTATGGTAGTTGAAAGATATTTCCTTATAGCTGGTCTGAGTTATAAGTGGTTACCGCATACAGCAAAGAAGAGGAATCCTTCAATGAAAGCCAGAACGTCCTTTTTCATATCCTGTCAGATGTGGTCATCTGACTTTTAGTCATAGCATCTCTTGATAATGGTGTAATTACGGTTTGCGAACCCCAGAATTCGAGCGAAAAATGATGAACATGGACCTTTATCAACTAACGCAACAACTAGTGCACCATATTCTGAATCACTACTTTTTTGGTGTACTACTTTATTCGAGGTAGAGCTGTGTAAGAAGATAGCCAAGGCTAGCTAAACCAAGGCATATCACAAATCCATGAAGCCTCTGGTTGCTGGCTACAGCCTTCTACGCTTTGTAGATAGTGTGTTTGTGAGAAAACCGACACGAATGTTATGGGAATGGTTAAGAACATTTCAGTAGCTCAGATACATTTACGCAGTACTTTTATTTGAAGTGATTTCGTTATACTTGCTGCTGTGCAACTTTTCCTCCCGCCTTACATTGCTTTTCAGTGTACTGATATGAAGTGTAGTAACTTGTGCCGATCTTAAGTTTTATTAAGCCCTTTGGTGTTCTCGTTTATTTCTGTAAATGTTGTTACTTGTATTTTCCCATCGTTGGTTGAACTGAATTGGTCAGTTTCTATTGGCAAATGGGCTCCTGCGTGGACGCCTTGATACTGCCTGTGTTTAAATTTTTTTTCATATTAGAAGAAGAGACCGACCAATTCGGCAGAATCAGTGACGGGGTAATACAGGTAACAACATTCCAACTATACCCGTCTCTCAAGAAGTGGCTTTCGCCACCCGGTGGCCTAATGGATAACCATCTAGGCTTTGAAGCGGTCGGTCCTGTGTCCGATTCTCTGTGGAAACAACACTGCTCACTTGGAGGCAGGTACACACAGCTGACGATTCCTAAACAGGACTAAATGCACCTCCTGGATTCCACTGCTAGCTACTATCCACTAGTAATGTTTCTATAAATGATGAGTATAACAAGGTTGAGGTAAACGTTTAATTTTCTTCTAATCAGTTAACCTGCAATGGATTGGCGTGAATTCCAAAGCTTTAAATGTGCGTTTCAACCCTGTACATGTACACATACTAAGCTTCGAGCTATAA